CACATCTCCAGCTCCCTCCCGTCATAAATAAGTGTCCCTTCTGTCCAAGTCCTCCACCTGTTCTCGGAATACTATCCTTCCTCACCTAGAAAACAGAGTTGCAGAGTTTCACTCCTGAAATTATACTCTCTCTTTTGCATCATATAATTCTTCTTTACCGAATCATTACTGTCGACATACAAAAGTGCTCTAGTATCTCCTATCTTTTAAAACTCAAAAAGAAAAAATGCCCTTTAAAAAAAATTTTTTTTAAAAAAGCTTACATCCCCTGTAACTTCTGCCCCATTACTCAGCTCAGCTTCACAGCAACACATACCAAGAGTCATTCACAGCTGCTGTTTCCTTCTGAATGGGATTCCATCCCCTCCACTGAGACTGTTCTCGTCCAGGTCACCAACATCTCCATGTAGCCAAAACTGTGGTTGCTTGTCTCTCCTCGGCTTCCTCAGCCTGACCGCAGCACTGTGAACCCTCTCTCCTGTAAGCACTTGCAGCTGTCATCCTGGCTCCTGAGACCCCATCCACCTGGTTCTCTGTCCCGCCTTTGCTGGCCATTTCTCCCCGGGCCAGCTTTGCCTCTGCACATCTTCTACATGGTGTAATATTTTAGGTTCTGCAGGCCACATACAACCACTGTTCCTTATTCTTCTTTGTTTTTTTTTATTTTTTTATAAGCCTTCAGAAATGTAAAATATATTCTGAGCTCAAAGCTACATAAAAACAGGTTATACTTGGCACTGGGCCATGTTGACCCTGCAATGGACAATGAATGGCTCAGTGCTCAGTACTGGGCCCTCTTTTCTACCTCTACTCTTTCCCTAGTTAATCTTACTGAATCTCATGGCTTTAAAGAACAATTATACGCCAATGAGGACCATTTACACCTCCAACTCTGATACCTCCACTGAGCTCCAAACTCCTATATCCAAATGCTTACTTGACATTTTCAAGCCAGAACTCAGTGTGGTGTACAATAAAATCACAGTAAAATCCCCTACTATGTAATAGGCATATCAAACTTTACATAGTCTGAATACAACCTGCACCTCTCCCAGTCTCCACCATCTCTGCAAATGGTACAAGTCAATTGCTCAAATCACAGCTCCGGAGTTATTCTTGATTTCTCCTTTCTCCTCTTTCCCATTTCAGCAGGACTTGTTGGCCTTGTCTCCAGAATGAATCCTGATTTCTAACCACCTCCTTCATCTCTACAGTTATTCTTTAGTCCAAGTCATCTCATCTCCTGTGTGAACTGCCACAAGAGCCTCATAACTCACCCCTTATCTCCACTCTTGTCCTTCAAGACCCATTCTTTATGCAGCAGCAAAATAATCCTTCAAAAACATAATCAGATTACATTACTTCTCCTACATGAAACCTCCAGCAACATGTAAAATAGGAAACAAGCTCCTTTTATCATGACCCATGAGGCCCTAAGTGACCTGGCCCCAGCCCACCTCTCTGACCTCACGCCCACTCTCTTCCTCACTCACTACATCTCTGTTTTTCAAATCACCATACTTTTTTCTGCCACAGGACTTTTGCACCTGCTGTTCCCAGTTCTTCAAATGGCTGGCGTCCTTGTGACTATTCAATCCAAGTGGCCCCCTTACCCTCAATCACTCTTCATCAATACCACCTGTTGTATTTTATAAATAATACCTTTTACTCCCTGAAATTAGCTTGTTCACTTATTTGATCACTTGTTTACTACCTGTATCTTCCCACTAGATCGTAAATTCCTTGAAAACAGAAAAAGCGTTCATATGTATTCTCTCTCCTGAAAGAGTGCCGACCACGTTTGATCACTTGTTTACTACCTGTATCTTCCCACTAGATCGTAAATTCCTTGAAAACAGAAACAGCGTTCATATGTATTCTCTCTCCTGAAAGAGTGCCGACCACGGGACAGGCACACAGTGAATCCTTGTTGAATGAATGAATGAGTAAAGGTGGAATGTCCACGGTATATTTTTCTGCTTATACAATTAACAATAACTTTTTAAAAAATATTGTTCCCCAAGTGACCAAACAAATTGCTAGAGGCTTAATACTGTCTCCACAAAAATAAACCCTATGTGCTAGGAACTGTGCTCCATTCTGGGAATACAAAAATGAGTGAAACTCAGTTCTTGCTGCCTATATTGTATAATCTAGTGAGTTAAATTATCACATAAAATGATTGCAGTAATGTGACATGTGGATGATAGAAATATGTGGCAACACTTCACTCACCCTGGAGAGGTTAGGGAGAGCTACATAAAGGAAGTGATATTTGAGCTGAATTTACAAGGGTGAGCAGAACTTTTCCAAATGGATTAGACAGAAAAGAAAGGAAAGGTATTCCAGACAGGGAAAGTATTACATGCAAAGGCACAGGGGCCAGAAAAGAAAATATGACACATTAAAATGACTAGCATAAGTTAGTCAAAGTTAGA